ATCTTTTTAAAATTTTACCTAAGGGTTGGTTCATATCAGCCAAATTGGCGCCGACCGGGCGGTGAGCCAGCTCCTGATCCGTCCGGCATACGGTTCGAGTACCGAATCTACTACAAAGTAGTACATAATGCGCCCAAATGGTACCACAGGTTAGTCAACTGAAGCTTGAATTCCCTGTTTCTTCAGTAGTTCAAGGGCTTTTAGTGATGGTCACTCGGTGCTAACTTTACTGGAGATTATGAAATTACTTCTACACCTTTTATTGCAGTCTAGTAAGAGATGTTGTCGAAATTATGCATGCAAACGTCGATGATGTTACAATAACTTGCCAATGTATCCTTCACATTTTTTATTACTTTCAATTATATTTTGTCTCATAAGTTGCACAACTGACAAGCAGAGCAACCGTGAAGGACGGGTTGGTATGCTGACTTGCTATGCGATCTTGAAGCGACTACAATAATGGCAAATCTCATCTTTACCTTCAATTTAGGAAAAATTAGGACGAGCCTTGGTTTGAAATTTTGACAAAATCTGGCTCTCGGCACCGATGGTCCCCGGTGCGAACGGTTCACAAACCACTTTCGGTCAAAATTGCACTTGATCAATGCTGGAGCAAATCGCAAGAGTTGAGCACTGCCCAACTTTTCCGCCTTTGCCTTGCGATCATTTTTTTGCAAGAGGCTCACTGCTGGTGACTCCCATCGCGCACCGGCAATACTCAAACCAACCCTAACTTCAAGTTAGTAACTTACCCATTATATTTGCACCAACGTGAAGTGATGTAGGACCTTTTCTGCATGTTTGTCACAATTCCCATGACGTCAAGACCTCAGGTCGGCTGAGGGCAAAAGCCTCACCAACACTATGCTCCCACTATGCAATTTTTTGTCTTTGCCTGTGAGCTGTGATCTTTGTAAAAACAAGAAATCGTCTTCGCTTGGCTTCCCCTCTTCATGTATTATTACATACCTTCGGGTTGGGTGGTCTGTTACTTTGCGTCTTCAAGTTGGAGTAAGATCGGTACGTCTAATTATCTTACTAGTCTCACTAATCATCCTGTAATGTTCGGCAGTCTTTGTTACCCCGCAACATAGCTTGTGCATATCTTTGCTGCACTTTAACTCCATTCATTTGGAACTTTGCATACCTGAGACGTCCAAGTTGGAAAGTTGTTGGTTGGTGCTTGGTACATGTGTTGGAGCTAGGTGTCTGGTCGTCGAATGTCTCAGTACCACTGTCAGATTGTGCCTTGTTGTCGCAGTTCTGCATAACTTTAATCTTTGACGCCCATTGCCGGAGACGATTATAGCGATACTACAACAGAAGCCGTACTAAGTTGTCCTGGGACTGCAGCATGCAACAGCTTGCAAGGCTGAAGAATTGACCACTATCGTGCTCTCGCGATTAGAGCCCTATCTCGAATTTGCACCAGTCTCTAAGAGCCAGTGAAAAAAGAAACCCGTCTCTTGTATAATGCCACCCCCTCCCCCACCCTCCCCACCCTGCCGGCTTGGAAGCAAGCTCATGTGCAAGTTTGGTGATCCTTTGATACTGCTTTTGTCCATGTCATTGAATTGGTAGTTTCAGAATCAAAATCACAGTTCTTGCTGCCCTTTCTTTTGATTTTGATTGGTTGCAGTAAACTTTAGGCTCTGTTTCGTTGCTTTCTTTGCTTTTAACATATTACCCTCTCTTGAATAGTGCCCTATCTTGAATAGCGTCCCATCTGTGGTGGACATTAAAAAATTGTGCACTTATCGCTCAAGTACGCTACTACTCAAAGTGGTTTACACGCCACAACTATTTGACGTATTTTTTTCTGACCAATGAATTCCTACCTGTTGGTCTTTTTTTCTCGATATTTTGCTGCATACACATAACACCACCTACTTCGACATGCACTGGTTATTGGTAAAACCCAGGAGAATGAAGGAAACGTCAGGACGAGACTAAGGTTGCGCTAAGTGGACCAATTTCAGAATTTTAATGACAACCATGTTAGCACTTTCTCCAACTTTTTTTGACTAATTTTCGCTCCTGTTCTGTTGCTCTCTGTGTGGCTCTCTCGGCATGAAAGACAGGCAGATGACATTATTGGAACCATAGGAAGGCATGATTTACATTCTCGAAAGACGACAGTCATCGCAAGGCAAGGATGTCGTGCTGTAAAGCAATGGGAGTGACGATGTTTTGCATTTTGTCCAACAGGCACATTGCCATGCAACAAAAGAACTGTGCTAACTGCTCGTTGTTTACAGTTTTTGGTTCACAATGAGAAAGAGAAGGGCAAAGGTACTGAGGAGCAAGAATAGTATGACAGGGATAGCAGCTAGCTTTTTTGGAATCTGCGTCATCCCCGAAAACACCAGCCAAAGTGCGAACAGGTCAGCAGGATGTCAAAACTCCATTACGCAAAGAAGTGACTCACTTCGTTCAGCACAGCAAAGCTAAAAAGTGCAAAATCGAAGTTGTCGCCCGCTACCGCGTATTCAACGTGGAAGATCTTGCTCTGTTCAGCAGCCTCCACTCCGATGTCTCCTTGGTCACATACAAGTTGCAGTTGTGAAGTGATGGTACGACTACAATGCAGATAACATGCAAAATGTTCGGCTTTTCCTGTACGCGTCGTCGTTCCGGGGCACCCTCGAGAGCGGAGGCGATGACTACCAGCGTCACCGCGGTCTCCCCCAAGATTTTTATTTATTTATTTACTGTTTGTACTTCATGTCACATAATGAAAATAGCCAATAAAAAAGAAGTAAAGGTGAAACCAACCACGGACCGAGAACAAAAATGTAAATCAAAGAGAGAAAATGAAGAAGAAAAAAGAAAGAGCGTTACTTACGAAGAAAGATGCTAGGGAAGGCACATGTGTAAACCATATACTTTGAAGTACTAGTAACAGCGAAGACGATCTGGGACGCGGAGAAATGTCCGGCGGGCCTGGTACATGAGTATGATCCAGTCTGTTCTCTGCTATGCCTCCAACTGTTTCTTTCCCGCTCTATCCAAACTGCTGCTACATCGACTGACACGCATTGTTAAATCTGGCATGCGAGCCATCTTCCAACTTCCCAGAAGGACCCCCACTGCTCCCCTGTTTGTCAGGATATCATTGCCTCAGCTCCACCAGTTGTACGTGCAACGTCTGCTTCTCTTCGTCTTCCGCTGCCTTCATGGCAGAGCCAGCTCACTGTTCACATCCTACTACTCCCTCATTGCCACGGATGTGGACAGAAGCTGTGTCATGCGTGGTCAGGTCAGCCAGTTGCTCAGAGTCCCGTTCCTACCTGGTCTCTCAGGCCGTAGCTCTATCGCCTTTGTTGGCAGTACCACATGGAACTCTCTCCCTGCTGATATTCGCGCTTGCGACGCACGCCACACGTTTCAAGCATTGCTGTCTGGCTATGACCTTATCTCCATCCTCAACTAGCTCTCCGATGTTGTGCCTACTATGTCTTCTTCACAGATTCTGCCTGAACAGATGCTCATCAATTATGTTCTTGACCTCTATCCTAGTCCAAATCCTGCCTTGCCCATGCATGACTCTCTTGAAATGCCCGTACTAAATAGTCTATAGAACAAGAATATTTGATATCAAACTTCTCTCATCAACTATGATAATACCCATTTCCTACCCCCTCCCCTTCATAAAATTAATAACTACTGTTTTCTTTCCTTTCATTTCATCTTCTTTTCCGTTCCTTTCTTCTTCATACACATTTTAAACATTTTCATCATATTGTGAGAGCCCTCGGCCAATAGCCCCGGTGAGAAGGCAGTCTTGCCTGTTCATATGGTGAAGTTAAATAAAGAAACAACAACAACAACAAGCTGCATTGGGATCAACACGTAGATCGACCTGCTACTTTGGTTGGTTCCAGCGGTGATGAATCGACCAATGGCAACTTAGACTGAGACTCTATTCCCATCAATCGATCTTGCAGATTTATGAATACAATCATGTCCATTGACAGTGTTGAAGTATTTCCCTTCCAATAATACACTTTCGTCGAGCAGAATTACACACAGAAAAGTCACGTGAAAAAGTCACGAATTTTTGGTTTCCGGAGGACGTAATTTCACCACCAGCCCCCCCCCCCCCCCCCTCACACGAACACACATGCACACACACATACACACACACACACACACACACACACCCTTGTACTTGTACTTGTTGCGCACAGCCAAAACTGGTCACGTGGGTCTCCCCGGGAGAGGGGAGAGGGACCCAAAAGGAATCTTGGAAAGATGACTCAATTGGCTACTGAACCGCCCAACGGCCGACACCCCCTGAAATCCCCAAACTTCGGGGAAATCACCCTGAAATCCCCAAAAGTATACAAAACTATGGGCTAACAGATATGTATACTTAAAATAGAAAGTATATGACCCCTGGACTCAAAAAAGGTGGCAGATACAACATTACACCTTCAAGCAGCCGAGCCCGTTGGCAACACACCGAACACAATCAGGCATAAGTGTACCCACAAACCGAACTAGCTGGCACCACACACACACACACACACACACACACACACACACTCGCGCATGCACGCATGCGCACGCGCACACACACACACACACACACACACACACAAACACACAGACAAAAACGCACACACACAACGGTTCTGTGCTTTGTGGCCTCATCAATACAGCACTGGGGGAATAGGGCTCAGCCTGATCGCAATGACAAGTGAAAAGCTGAAGAATTGACCAATACTACTCAGCCTGGTTTACACCGCGGAGCTTTTTGAAGTGTTTTGTTTTCCTGGGCAGTGAATTCCTACACCGTTTCTTGATATGTGTTCCTTGTTAAGACAATACGTAATGAAACAAGACCACCTGGATAACTTCTTGAACATTGTTCATTTTTCTCCCATTTTGTGAACAGATTGTATGATGAATACTGATTGGCCAACAAGCTAGTATGATTTTCACCTGGACAGGATTGTTAAGTTATGAATATGATCTCTCCTGTCTATGTACAGGTTGCTATACAAAATCACTATAGGTCCATCCACAATAACTGTACATCATTTGGTAGCGAGGGTAATGGCAGGGTGCAGTTCAAGAGTCCACGTGGTATCACAATCAGCAAAGATGGAAAGGTCTTTATTGCTGATACTGACAATCATCGGGTGAAGGTAAGTTTATAGAAACCAGCACCCACATCTATCTCAATACACAATTTTCATCATCTTCTTGATGTATAGCAAGACATGTAAACTGCAGCTGCAGTATTGCTCTACAGGAAGTCATTGGTCTGGTAGATAGTGTTATCAACCCACATTTCCTTATGATAGTTTCTCCTCTCCTAAAAGCCATCATACCATAGGAAGGTGGGAAACAATCTCTTGGATCCCCATATTCTATTTGCATATCGGAGCTTTGGGATTCGATATAACAGTGTATACCAACCCGAAATCGGGTTTTTCTTTGCTGGAAAAAAAATTCGTAAAAGAAAACTGCCCCACAGGTGATCAATCAGCTCAAATGCGAAAACTCTAGCTTCTTTGAACTCGGATGGTGAGCCAATATAGTTATGATGAAGAAAGGAAAAGGACAAAATGTTACGAGTTATGACAAACTGTCCACCAACGTAACCAGATCTTATACAGTCAGCAAGTGTCTTGGACCTTCTTGGACCTTTCCTAACCTGAGCCTTCCAAGTTGGAAGGTTGTTGGTTTGCGCCTTGGAGAAGTGTTGGAGCTAGGGGTCAGGTCGCCGAATGTCTCATTACTCCTTGTCAGTTTTGTGCCATTTTGTCGCACTCGCTGACTGGATAAGTTCTGGTTACGTTGGTGGACAGTTTGCCCTAACTCGAAACATTTTGTCCTTTTCCTGTCTAGCTTCTTCATCTTTTTTTTGCTCGAGGAAATGCTTCGTTGAAAAATTTCTGCTGTTTTGAGTTTTTGGTATGGAATGCGCACCTCAGGATGTTTTTTCGCTAGTCCAGAGAGCTCTGGGCTAAGCCTTGCGCCCACTCGAGAGGCGTTTGGCATCTTTGGAATGCCACAATAGTCGATGCGGCAGTGAAATTTGGAGTCCAACTCTAGGCAAGAGCATGACTCGCGGATCGTGGATGGTACATGTACCCCGGAAACTGATCCACTCCTGATCCTCAGCAGCGCTCTCGATTCTTCCGGCTTTCCGAAGCAGCATTGGAGGATTTGTCTTGGTGGCTTCAGCACCTGGAGGGGTTCAACGGGCGCTCTATTCCTCTGCCAGTTCCAGACCTGGTCATGCAGGCGGATGCAGCATCAACAGTCGGCTGGGGAGCAGTCTGTGGTCATCGCCATGCATCAGGCCTTTGGACAATGGCGGAGAAGCATATTCATATCAACAGCCTGGAACTACGTGCAACCTTATTTGGTCTACAATCACTAGCAAAGGATCTTAGAACCCTTACCACAGCGGCAACTGCTCTGGACGGTTGGCTGAAGTCTCGAGGCCTCATCTTGAACGCCGCCAAGAGCCAGGTTTTGACTATATCTCCCCAGCAGCATATACAGGAACTAACAGTCAAAAGCGGCGATTGTCTTCTCCCTTCAGCGTCTTCTGCGCGCTACTTCGGCGTTCACCTTGACAATCGCCTAGATTGGAACACCCATGTTGGTGTGATATTGTATGTACTTCAGAGGACAGGGATCAATTGTATCACATTATTCATAAAATTGGCACGCTCATTTAGCTAGCGCTAATATGTAGTCTGTAGCGCTAATACATGTATGTAGTCTGTACATAAGGCACTTTCCTTATGTACGTTGATTCATTCTATCCAAGTTGGTGGAACATAACATGGCGCAGTGACCCGAACCAACGTGCTATTGCAGCAATGGTCGTGGAAGGTGGAGAAGCAACCGAGATGGACGGCGACTTGGCCCACAGCGAAGGTGAACCAGTTTCAAGGCAGGACCACACCCTCGTCCGATTGGCGCAACTGATCGCTGATCAAGCACAGCAAGCTTCTGCCCGGGATAACCGAATGGTGGCGCTGCTAGACGCTGCGCTGAGCCAGGGTGCAAGAGAACCCCAGAGGGCAAGTCAGCCCACCACCTCCATCAATGTTGAACGCCCAATTTTGGACGCTACCGCCACCTTGGCAGATTTCACGGCGTGGAAAGAATCGTGGGAGGACTTTGTACGTTGCCAGCACCGTCCTAGGACCGAGAAACCAGAGTGGCAGCACTGAGACAGTCCTTAGACGAGGAACTCCAGCGGTATATCCGCCAAGACATAATCTGTATTTCTGAGGAGGACGATGATGACGCTATCATCGGGGCCATCGAGGCGTTTGTAAGACGTCGTCGTAACCCTTTACTGGACAGATTGGAGTTCTACAATTTGAAACAAGACGATAATGAGTTGTTCGACTTCTTCCTGACGGTGTTGAAGGAGCTTTACAAGGCTTGTGACTTCACAGTTGGAGAGTTCTGCACTACTTGCACATGTAGCCTCCGTTGATGTGGCCAATGCTGGTCGAGCGTCCAGAGGAGAGGCCAGGAGACATTGCGCGACAGGCTTGTGGTTGGCATTCGTGATGATGACACGAGGCATAGACTTCTGTCCACCCCAGCCCTGTCGCTGGAGGATGCCGTTCGGATATGCAGGGCTGAGGAAGCTGCCAAAGCCACCCAGCAAGATATGGCACAAGCGCAAGTCAGCCGTGCACAGGCATTGCGCAAAACTCGGTATCAGCGGAGCAAGCAGTCACAGTCGAGGAGCAATGCATCTTCTACTCGCAGCCATGAACCACAACTGAGTGGCAAACCGCCCGTTCGAAAGCAGGAGGGAGACAACCAGCCTAGAGCCAAGTGTCCTAAGTGTGGATATGACTCCCACCCGCTCTCCCGATGTCCCGCTCGAGACCTGCAATTCGTGTGGTGAGAAGGGACATTTCCAGAGAAGATGCCCAGCGGAGTCTTCGTAGCCAGATATCAGTTGGAGGCAGCTTGCCCTGTAGTTTACTTGGAAGCATACGTGGAACACACAGAGTCTTTAAGACCCTCTGGTACTCAGCAGTACTTCACCTTAGCTCGTAAGCCACATCGTGCGGTATCAGCTGCTACGATTTCTCGTTGGCTGGTGTCCGTGTTATCCACCGCTGGCATTGACACGTTGGTGTTCAAAGCGCATTCAACCTGAGCCGCTGCATCGTCGCTGGCTGCAGCTGCTGGTCTGTCAGCTGATTTTCTGTGCGTCGTTGGCTGGAAACAAGAGTCTATGCTCCAGTGCGTCTATCTCAGAGATCCCATGCCTGCTGCGTCAGTCCACATTCGGCAGGAGCTCGCAACTGGAGTATTGACTGCTGCTGTGTCAGCATCTACACTGCCCTGAAACAATGCTGACAGTGTGCTTGTTCATCTACGTCATGATGGTGTGACTGTGTGCAAACACATACCGTGACTTTGCTGTACTAATCCATTATTTGTTTTACAAGTATCTGCATGGTGTATGCATTACAAGTAATTACAGAACAGCCAGTGTTGGAGTCTCGCTGTACTAGATTTATGAATATTTTTTTCCTGAATTTGCTTTGTGTGGCCACACCATTGGTTGGTGTTAGGCCATTGTGTTATTTTCCAGCCAGGGTGTTCTGGTTTTCCGAGTCATAAATATATCACTGACACTCATACTTCCTCCGGAAACAAAACCTTCCTGACTTTTTCACATGACTTTTCAAGGAGTTACTGTGCTCAACAGAAGTGTTCTTTTCGAAGAGAAACCCTTCGACATATCTACAATATCTACAGAATAGATTAGTGGCAGTGGAATTTCAGTCTGGGTCACCATCGCTCGACTCATTACCGCTGAAACCGTTCCAAGTGGCAGGTCTATCAACGCAATGTCGTAGGTCGCGGAGAAGCTTCTCCGTGTCCCTGATCACCTTCGCTGTTATCTGAATGCCTTCTCCAACACTCGGCGTAGACCACGGTAGCACTGCAGCGCTGGTACTCATTACCGCCTCCGCTCTTGCTCCAGGATGCCCCGGAACAACAAACACAGGCAAAGCCAAATATTTCAAATTTCTCTTTCTGCATTTTGGAGTTTTGACATCTTGCCGACCTGTTTGCATGCCGACAGGTGTTTTGGGGATGGCGAAGATTTCAAAACGCTAGCTGCTAGTGCTATTCATTTTCCACTCTTCTTGCTCCTGGGTGCCATTGTCCTGCTTTGTCAAGTTCTGAACTAAAAAATAGCAGCGACGAGCAGTTAGCACAGTGCTTTTCTTCGCATTGCGTCTGGTGGACGAAAATGAAAAACATGTTCGCTTTGCTTTGATTACAGCGTTGGCACTCTTGCTCTGCGACGACTGTCGGCTCTCCAGAACATGAATCATGCTTTCCTACAATCACGAAATGTCATGTCAGTGTTTCAGGCTGACATAACCAGAGAGAAAGAGCGAAATAACAGCAGCGTAGTAGTGTAGCAGTGAAAAAAAGTCACGAAGTTGTTGTTTCCGAAAGAAGAAGTAGCCATTAGTGCATAAGATAACTGCTGCCATGGAGGCCGGTTGATATGAAACATTTTAAAAAATCACGGTTCGCGTGAGACTTGGCTGGAAGCCGAGTTTTCCGCATCCGCCGTGGGAACACCACCACACTCTACGATCAAGGCGCAGATGCAGCGCCTAAACGGTGGGGGGTGAGTAGATCAGACCCACCACAATGTGGTCAAAACCGAAATCCCATTAGCTGCATCCATGTTATAGGGGATTCACACACACACAGGTAAACCTGAGGTCACGGGACAAGGTAAAAGTTCAGACCTTCCGTCAAAGGAGTGGGGCTGTTCACATCCGTGGTCAGTTTTCCCTTGGCCGCACGTTTGGCCATGAACTTGTGGCGGGGCAACTAAAAAAATAATCTGTACTGCATTTTTGTAGTACATTCTGTACTGTGTCTTGCATTCACCATGCACGATTTTCCGATGGGCACTGTCTGAAAATGCAAGTTGCGATGCACTCGTACGACTAGGGTTCAGAGTTCTCGCCAAATACAAGATCTATGCATGCGCGTCTTATAGCCATGGGATTTTTCCCTTGACAAACGCCCTGAGGCCCACGGCCACGGATTTGCCAATTTTTTCCCGAGAGGTTCTTCCTTTCCCCCAGTACCATAGTTTCCATAACAATTTTCCCAT